TCTTGTGAGAAATCAATCCGCGAAGAGAACTGAATACTCATATCTGGGGGAGACAATCTACGTTCTTTAGGGGCTGTTTGGTCTGGAGGTATGGTGTCCGCCTCGCGTCCCAGAGGTAAATGAAAAGTCGGGAGATGTGAACCAGTGTCATTGCACACGGTTATTAATCATAAGTGCTCTGCCGCCAGTACCGATAGCTGATAAGAAACTGTCCGCCTGTGTCGCCGTCCGCAGGAAACTCCGTAGCTACAGCGATGTTCCTCTGTTTACCCCAGAGTTTTAACTCTGGTACCCATTTCCTAGAGGCTGGGTGAACCCCGCGAACCGCATGATTTCGAACACCGGCGGTGGGCTGCAGCGAGTCGCAGCTGGATTTGAAAGCGAGTCTCCTATCGACTGCGCTAACGCTGCTAGAGGTCCCGGGTTTAAGCCCCGGTGAAGGCTGGGATGTTTTCACGCGGACTTCTAGTAATTTCCACTGGTCTCTGGGTAGTAAGATCGGACGTCCGTGTATATTGTTGCGCACGTAAAAAAAAAATACTGTGGCAGTTGGAAATCGAAAAAGAGTAGCCTATAGGCGCTGCCCGGACACAATTCGGAGTCAAAAGCTACCTAAAGTATTTCAGGATCCTGGCTTAAAGATCGAAGTTCGTGCACTGCGCTGAGATTCTTCAGATTCGTGCTTGATTTAGAAGTAGAACGGAGCACTTATGGACTACACCAGTAATGCCATGATGTTGATCCGTCGAATAAACAATATACAAACAATTCTTGTGGTCACATCGCGAGAAGGCGTAAACTGGAGGTCATGGTGACGGTAGGAAAGTTGGAGGGGGAACAGAAGCAGATGCAGACCGAGCGAGAAGATGCTGGACTGTTTGACATCATGCCATGGAAGATCATCTGTGTTGGGACAGAAGACTTACCAACGCCGCACGGCATGAAGGAGAAGTCTCAGTGGGATAAACGTGATAGGGGAGTTTGCCACACCCGTTGAGCACTAAATGACATTTTTTTTTTTAAAAACATGACCAACCCCATCCCAAGAAAATTCGCCCCTTCCCTTGCTCCTGAGAAAACTGAACATGGATTAAGGCGCTGCTTCGGTTCTTTTCTTTTATTTCACCCCACTCCCGGGGATTACGAGATTCGTGGGGAATTTCACGGAAATTCCAATACGGAAAGAAGGAGGGAGGTAGAGTTAGTGTTAGTCGGTGTTCATTGTATACCCTAACACTCCTATACTATTGTACTTTCCTGGAAACTCCCATGAAATCTCAGAAATCCCCCCCCCCTCCCTTTTCAGACCTATACTTTAGAGACCAATCGGCACTCGATGAGTAGTGTGGTCAATATCACACCGGCCGCCTGTACTTGCCAGACATACCTGCTACCATTTCAGGCTGCGTCGGCCAAGGCCATTTTTAAAGGAGAAACAAAAAATACCGCTTCTGTCGGGTACTAAACCCACGACCTTCCGTCTAGCGTCTGCACCGCGGCGACTTCTTTTGTCCTTGAGAAAATCACTGGTATCTTGTGCCAAAGAAAAACACGCGTAGCTCACAGTGTCACGCCATGCACTCAACTCAGAAGCTGGGCGACGAAACTATATCCTTCCAGTCTAAAAATGGAGCAAAATGCAACGGCCACCGTCTGGCAGGAAAAAAAAAGTGGCCGTGCCTAGCGTCCATTTTGAACTGAAGAATTATATGAGGGTTACGGTCACCCTAGCAGTACCCTCATTATTAGCCGGGGAAGAGACTTCGGACATTACATCCACCAGCAGGCGTCGCCCCTACAACGACCTGCCTGCCTTCGTTAACGACTGTTCACCGAACAGCCATGCAGTTCTTTGGCACGAAGGAGACACCTTGAGCTTGGGTTTCGGACTGCCGACTCCCTACAAGATGTTATTTTATGTTTTGTTATCACACTTGATATCACTGCACATTGGGCATACCCATGCGTGCTCAGTTCTCCGAAGCAGCAACGACTCCAGAGTACTTCTACTAATTGTCCCCATGAGAAGCTGGTTATATCGTCTCCTTTCTCGGCCCCGAAGACGGCAAAGACGTGCATCACCATGCTTAACTCCCATGTCACGCAATCGTGTTAGTGTCAGGGATTCCTCATTCTCCACTAGCCTCGTTCGTACATCGTGGAAGATATCTGTTCTATCCATGCTTTTCCCGGCAATCATTGGTGCAGTGCTTGCCAATTGGGCCGCTCGCTCATTTTCCTTTACGCCCGCATGACCCGGTGTGTAGATCCAGGTTACGGAGGTTAAGTGCGATTTCCGAATACTTTCTATCCATTCAGAGCGCATACTGCCTGTTGCTATCTTCTGAAGCATATTCATTGAGTCTGAGACAATTACTGCTTGTGTGGCGGTTTGCTCGGATACCCATGCTAAAGCTCTAGAAGCAGCGGCTATTTCCATTGTCATGCTTGACGTGGTTGTCTGGTAAGCGCCGCTGTCCTCATGTATTGTTTTCCCAATTCTTTGCGCTGTGTATGCCCATGCTGACCTTGATCCGCGCTTCACGGATCCATCTGTGTAGATAATGATATCTTCTGGGTCTGAACGCTGATCTATCAGTTCCCTTACTTCTGCGTCTACGGCCGCAGGAATTTGATCCCTGCAGTACCTTCCGAGTGTGATGACAACCTTAGAGATGCCATGCATATCTACTGGTGTATTCGTCCATTCTTTTCCGTGACTGATCACGCCTAGGTCACATACCTGCTGGATTAAATCCTCAGCCTTTGCCATCCAAGAGCGGCCTCTTTTCAGACGCGTTCCTTTTGTTTTGTGTATATCTTTGTGCAGTGGGTGGTTAACGTCTGCCGATACCCTCATGTAAGCCTTGACCTGTGCCACTTTGTATCTGCTTGTCATCGTCGGCAAACCCCGGACATAACGCATGGCGTTGCAGGAGGTGTCTTTTGTGCAGCCGAGTATGAGTCTCATGGCCTCGTTTTGTACTCGGTCCAGTCTTTCCAGCTTTCTAAGATGCGTACAACAGCGTTCCATACAACATGCTCATCAGACTGCTGTTGGATATGCAGAAAGAAAAAAAAAATTCATCAACTGGATCTCAGCAGCGCTATTTTAAAGAGCAGTCGCTTCGATGTGGTGAATGGGCATCCGAACCTCAACGCGTCCTAATGGGTATGCCCCAGGGATCACCATTGTCGCCTGTGCTCTTCAATGTGTACACAGCAGGAGTCACGAGTGCACAAAGCATAGGCCTAGGCAGAACAATGTCGTATGCAGATGATATCATTGTTTTCCGTCGAGGTAAAAAACAGGCAGGAAATTACAACCACACTACAACACGAACTAGACAGACTTAGTGAGTGGTACCAGGAATCAAGAGCTCAGGTGAACCCGTCCAAAGCCTCCTTAACATGGTTCTCTCTGAATACCCACATCGTAAGTACACCAACACCAGTCGTAAGCATCTGTGGTGTGGACATCGAGAGAACGGACACTATGAAATACCTGGGCATGACATTTGATAGATGCCTGTCATACAAATGCCACGTAGACAACGTCAAACTTAGAGCCAGAAAAGGTTTGACAGCACTCAAGGTGCTAACAGCAGCTTATATTGAACAACGCCTACTTGTCCTTCTCTATCAAGGGCTTGTGCTTAGGTTCATTGACTATGGTCTTGCCCTCCTCATTGTCAGCAAAACCCAGCGAGAAAATCACTGTCGTAGTCAAGTACTTGTTTTCACATGAGCTTTAAACGAAGTCCGCAGGAGATGCACTTAGAGGAAATTGAAAACGGGACATGTGTGAGGATCTTTGTTGGGTTATCTCCCCTTGTTCATTACAGTGCAATCGCAACAACTACCAACATGAGCGCTGTAGTTGAAAGGATCTGGCCTGAAGACAAGATGGTTCCTCGAGGATTTATGATATTAAAGACATTTTTCGTTTGACATTCGACATATCTGAACATCGAGAACTTTCTCAAAAACTGCATCCTATTCCTAAAGATTAAGTATTTTGGCCATGTTGAACGTCATGGCGGTTTGGAGAGAACGGTGATGAAGTGTACATATTTTGGAGAATGAGGCAGAGGCAGACCGCTGCGAATGTGGATTCAAAACATTGAGGATGCATCCGATCTCACCACCCAGAGACCAGGGAATATACTAGGAGTCTAAGTCCAAGTGAAAAAATCCCAGCTCTTACCGGGAATTGAACCCGGAACCTGTAGCACTCGAGGGGGACACCATGCCTCGAGACCACGCAGCTACCAAGAGTTAGACGAAGAACGGAGCACTTATGGGTTACTACCCGTTTGCTATGATGTTGATCCATTGTTCAAACCTTAAACTTCATAAACCAGAGTAGCTACCCCTGTTGCTGCAATGTTTCTTGCCAGTTTGGGTAGTTTTTATTTGGTCACAAGACAACACGGGCGGCTTTTTTTTTTCTTCATGAAAATCAAGTTTGCATGGTTTTATGTCGGCGTCTGTGGCTTAGGCGTTTCGACAGTGGTACCGAGCGCTGACCGTTTGCAATGGCAAACTACTGAACGTGAAATCTGATTAGGAAAACCACAATACCCCTCCCCTCACCAAAAAAAAAAAAATTATGGGGATGGTTCTGCATCGTCCTGTAAAGGATAGGATGCGCAACTAACTATGATTCTGTGTATTTCAAAAAAGGATTATTATTAATCAGAAGGTTGCCTCAAAGTTTTTAGCTAACGTCTTTAAATGCTGACTTATTATGTTGAATATCACTTGTTCCTTGATTTTTATCCCTGGGGTGTTCATTCTATGTACTGCAATCCTGGAACAAAAGAACTGTCTATCCTACCCTGTTACATGATTAGACAGAAATGGTTGGCAGCACACCTGGATTTTCCCCGTGGTTCATGAGTTGATGAAGAACATTGCCTTATGTAATATATAAAAATAGGAATTGGTGAAGGTTGGGGGCATGACATTTAGCCTTTGTTCTGCTTCTCTACCAACAGATTCTTCACATGCATATGGACCAAGTGGAGAAGCAGGCCATGACCGCAGAAGGCTGCCCTTTGCAGATCCGGTGTAAGAACTTCCTTTGTATGACCTTCATTATTCCCAGGGAGAGGGACTGTCAGGATGTGTACCAGACCTTGCTGGAGCTCTCTCGGCCAGGTGAGCGGGTGGTTGTCTATGTGCAACAAAAGGGGGGAGGAGAAAATCTGGGTCAGTTTTGGACTGGGTAACTCTGTTCTTTGTGTAATTTGTTTTTCCTGGTGATTGGCTATGAGGCAGACCAAGAAGACAATGGAGAGATTATATCCTCACAGACCTGCAATCACTTGGTGTTACCAACTGGAAAGAGAAGGACAACCAGAGAGATGATTGGAGGCAGGTGATATCTGAGCAATGAACCTCAAGGGCTCAGAATTATGAAGAAGAAGAAGATGATTGTTGCCGGAACAACAGAGTTTCTATGTTGTGTGGTTCTCTCAGCAGGTGACCAGGTGAGAAGAAATTGAGCCATGTAGAAAGACTTCTAGTACAGGGTATCAGATCCAAATGGCTTTAAAAGGATATTTTTTTTTTTTTGCACACTTCTCCCTATGATGCTTGACAGCAGTAAAGAAAAAGAGATGATATTTACACAAGAATTTTGGAATAAAGTGCAAACTATAAAGTGGAACCATCCCAAAATAATTCACACTTTGTCTTCAGAAAAGAAAGGGGTCTAAATATCCAAGGAAGTAAAGGTGGCCCATCAAGTGGTCATTGATGATTAAAAATATGGGCTAGTGTCATGTGCCAGTTTTGCCAGGGACATGAGAAGGGTCTTTATTTTATTTTTTTTTTGGTCTTTTACACTAATAATGTCGGACTTACCCTGTGACTCACAGTGTATTTTTTTTCTGCAGCTGAGATTGACAGACTGTATGCCTTCTCCTTCACCTCCACTGAAAACCTGGACAAGTCCTTCGGCTGGAACCTGTTTGATCTCCAGTCTGAGTTTCTGAGGATGGGAGCACCTAACGGAAACTGGGTCATCTCAAGCCTAAACCAGCAGTATGAGGTACGTAATCTCTATTTTAGCCTGTTCTTTTTCTGTCCAATGTGCTTGGTATCCACAAATTGTTTGTTCTTTCTAAATCTACAAAGCTGTGAATAAATTCCTTATGGTTAGTCATTTGTCAGGGTTTTGGCTTCACTGCAGACAGATCTGTTCCTGAGGCAGTGAAAATTACACAAAATGTCCTCCATGTTTTATGTTTGCCATTGGAAAGAGTGAACTAATGTGATTAACAGATGGGTATCAGTTTGGATAGAGTAAACTAATGTGACAATAAAAGATGGGCATCAGTTTGGATAGAGTAAACTAATGTGACAATAAAAGATGGGTATCAGTTTGGATAGAGTAAACTAATGTGACAGTAAAAGATGGGTATCAGTACGGGTAGAGTAAACTAATGTGACAGTAAAAGAATGGTGTCAGTTTGGAAAAAGTAAACTAATGTGACAGTAACAGATGGGTATCATTTTGGATAGAGTAAACTAATGTGACAGTAACAGATGGGTAATCAGTACGGATAGAGTAAACTAATGTGACAGTAAAAGAATGGTGTCAGTTTGGAAAAAGTAAACTAATGTGACAGTAAAAGATGGGTATCAGTTCAGATAGAGTAAACTAATGTGACAGTAAAAGATGGGTGTCAATTCGAACAGAGTAAACTAATGTGACAGTAAACGATTGGTATCAGTACGGATAGAGTAAACTAATGTGACAGTAAAAGAATGGTGTCAGTTTGAAAAAAGTAAACTAATGTGACAGTAAAAGATGGGTATCAGTTCAGATAGAGTAAACTAATTAATGTGACAGTAACAGATGGGTATCAGTTTGAATAGAGTAAACTAATGTGACAGTAAAAGATGGCTGTCAATTCGAACAGAGTAAACTAATGTGACAGTAAACGATTGGTATCAGTACGGATAGAGTAAACTAATGTGACAGTAAAAGAATGGTGTCAGTTTGAAAAAAGTAAACTAATGTGACAGTAAAAGATGGGTATCAGTTCAGATAGAGTAAACTAATTAATGTGACAGTAACAGATGGGTATCAGTTTGAATAGAGTAAACTAATGTGACAGTAAAAGATGGGTGTCAATTCGAACAGAGTAAACTAATGTGACAGTAAACGATTGGTATCAGTACGGACAGATAGTGGCAGCAGCTGTAGTGTAGTGGCTAGACACTCACATGCTGGGCCAAAGATTTTCAGTTTTAATCCACATCAAGGCAGATTTTTTTCTTCAGAATTGGCCTTAGCTCCCATGCCCATCTAGCCTTAAATGTACCAGGAAGAAAAGGTGACTGCCATAATGTTGACCCCATTATCCCAGAGAGCCAATGTGTCTGCAAAAATATGTCAAGCATCATATGCTAAAAGAAAGCACTGTTGTAAAAAATTGTATATCCTTTTTTTTTTCCTGGGGATTGGGGGGGGGGGGGGGGGGTGTCCATCTTATCTTAATTAAACAGTCGCAGAATTTGTAACCGTTTGGATAGAGTTGGTTAATATAACAAATATTGGTATTTCTGTCCGACTGCTCACCTGCCTGTCAGTCTTTCTGTCATCCTCTAATTCATTTTGTTGGTCTGCTTCTCATATTTCAGTCTGTAATTCAGTTTATTGGTCTGCAACTATATATGTATATATGCCTGACTACCCACCTGTCTGTCTGTATTTCAGTCTGTCTTTGTGTGACAAACTCACCTGTCTTTATCTCTAGCCCTTTGTGACTGTCAGTCTATGTCTCTCTAACTATGTACTAACCTGCATAATCTGTATGTGGTGTATGTATGTATATGTGAACCCATCTTTTTGTTTGCCTGATCTAATCTTATCTAGCCTAATATATCTGTCTAGCTTTCTCACTACTAAGAAAAATATTAAATTTGTAATGAGTTTACATTTCCATTGCTGTTTGCCTGACAATTTTCTGAATGACCTTTGCAGCTGTGTGACACTTACCCTAGCCAGCTGTATGTCCCAGCGGCCGCCACCACCCCTGTCCTGGTTGGAAGCTCCAAGTTCAGAAGTCGAGGCCGGTTGCCAGTTTTGTCTTATCTGCACTCTGAGAACCAGGTAATCTCAACTGGCCAGTGAATATGACTGATCAATGACTATGACTGATCAGTGACTGTGGCTGATCATTAGCTGTGACTGACCAGTGACTGACTGACAAGTGACTGGCTGACCAGTGACTATGATTGGGCAGTGACTGTAACTGATCAGTGACTGTGACTAATCAGTGGCTATGACTGACCAGTGACTTGGATTGACCAGTGACTGTGACTGATCAGTGAATATGACTGACCAGTGACTGTGACTGATCAGCTACTGCATGTGACCAGTGAAGACAACTGACCAGTGACTATGACTGATCATTGACTGCAACTGACCATCAAAGGCCCACCAATACTGGCCTCAGAAGTTGAGAATGCATTGCATCACATGAAGAAAGGAAAGGCACCTGAGCCAGACAACATCTCACTGGAAGAAATTGAGGCTTTGGGATATTTTGGAATTGAAATAATAACAAAATTGTTCAATGACATTTGTAATAGTGGGTTCATTCCTAATGACCTTTTAAAATCTATATTTATTGCTCTGCCAAAGAAACCAGGCACTTCAAAATGTGAAGACTATCGCACCATAAGTCTTATGAGCCATGTGACAAAAATGTTACTATGAATAATAAGGAGAAGAATAAGAAACAATGTTAAACCAGAAATTAGTGAAGAACAGTGTGGATTTGTAGAAGGAAATGGTACAAACAATGCTGTACACATCCTCAGGACTTTCGGAAAGAGCTATAGAAGTAAACACGATCTCTACTTATGCTTCATTGACCATATGAAAAGCTTTTGACTGTGTGAAAAATGAAGAAATAATCAAACTATTAGAAAAGCTAACTAAACGTTGATGAAAAAGATGTATTGGCAGAAAACAGCAGCCAAAAGAATTAAAACAATTTTGAACATTTCAGAGCATAAAGAGGGGAGTAAGACCTGTTTTGTTTTTCATTATACAGTAAATATGTAATGAGAGCTATCATCGATATGCCAGGAATTGTGGTTGGTGGTCATAACATAAACAACCTGGGTTACGCTGATGACACCGTCTTGGTAGCGACAAGTCAGAAAGTCAGGAATTGATAGATACAGTGGTGGCAGAAAGTGATAAATGGGCCTCAGTTTGAATAATAGCAAGACAGAGAAGTAATGGGGATTTCGAAGAAAAGAATAGTACGTAAATGGGAAATAAAAGTCAAAGGTGTTTTTTCAGGACAAGTACAGAAATTTAGGTATCTATGCACATGGATAACATCCGATGGAAGACGTATCAAAGATAAAGAACAGAATAGGACAAACCAAAACTGTATTTTTTTCAAATGAAAAACATTTTATTCAATAAATCCATGTCATTGGAGGTTAGGAAAAGAATTCTCACCTGCTATTTAGAGCCGGTTTTAACATACGGCCGTGACCCCTGGCTGGACAGTTAGTAAACAAGTTGAACAATATCTTGAGGCCTCAGAGATGGTGTTTTACAGATGAATCCTTTGAATTGCTCGGACAGCCAAAAGAAAAGCAACCCAGATGTTTGGAAAGAGGCTAGTGCTTGGAGACAGCTAATCACAGACATCAGAAAGAGACATCATTTTGGTTGGTCATGAGAAGAGGGCAAGTGGAACATGTTGTGACCATTGGAAAGATTTGTGGAAAGAGAGACAGCGGAAGACAGCACAAGAAGGTTCTTGACGGCCTTCTGTCATGGCATGGAGGGATGACAACACAGGAACTGAAACATGCAGCTGTGGATCGTAGATTGTGGAGAGGCATGATCACCCACGCCAGTCGGCAAGGCATTTGATGATGATGATGAAGTAAAATTGTTTTTTGTCTGTCACTGTTGATGTGCTGATTGTGTTGTTTCTTTATTTGTTTATATAATATTTTTATTATTGTTTGTTGCTTTGCGGCTATCTTCTTTGTTGTTGTTTCTGTTTGTTGCAGTTTCTTTTTTGCCTTTTGTTAATCTTCATTTTGTTGTTTCTGTTTCTCAGTTGCTATCTTCATTGTTTGTTTCTTTTTTTTTTCTCTGTTTGTTTCTCTGTCTCTGTTTGATGTCACAATATTTGATGTTTCCATTTCTCTGCTGTTATTTCTGTGTTTTTTTTTTCTGCCTCTCTTTCGACATCTTTATAATTTGTTCTTCTAGTTTCTCTCTTGATATCTATAGCATTGCTTCTGTTTCTCTGTATTAATTGTATTGCTGTTCCTGTTTCTCTGTATTAATTGTATTGCTATTCCTGTTTCTCTGTATTAATTGTATTGCTGTTCCTGTTTCTCTGTATTAATTGTATTGCTGTTCCTGTTTCTCCAGGCGGCACTAACCCGCTGCAGCCAGCCATTGTCTGGGTTTTCAGCTCGATGTTTGGAAGATGAACACATGTTGCAGGCCATCTTGAAAGCCAATCCTAAGTCCAATTACATGTATGTGGTAGACACCAGGCCAAAGGTGAGATGCTCAGCATGTGTGTGTGGTTGCTGGAGCTGTTGCTCTGTCAGGTTGGTGTGGTTGATTTTATTCTTGTTACTGTTATTGCTACTTGTTATTACTGCTGTTGTGATTATGGTAGGTGATATTGTTTTTAACGCTGTTGTTGTTGTTACAGTTGTTGCTGATGTGATTGTTTTTATTGCAAATGTTGTTGCTGTTATTGTTTTTAACACTGTTGTTGCAGTTGTTGATGCTGATGTTACTGTTTTTCTTGCTGTTGTTGGTACACTTGTTGTTGCTGATGTTATCGCTTTTATTACTGTTGTCATTGTAAAAGTTGTTGGTGCTGTTATTTTTTTTTAATTACTGCTGTTGCTGTTTTTGTTTTTACTTTTGTTGCTACTATTATTGCCATTGTTGTGCTTGCTGTTCTTATATATGTGTTTTTAGAGATGTTGTTTTTATTTCAGTTGTTGATGTAGTAGATGTTATTATTATTGCTGCTGTTGTGATTGCTGTCGTTGTAGGTGATTTTATTGTTTTGTTGCTGCTGTTGTTGTTTTAGCTGTGCTTGCTTTCTTCAAGTTTTGCATGTGCACCTGTTTACAGATCTGACCTAATTTGTGTGCAGTGGGTTCCTTGCCTTTCAGGAAGTTGCATGTCAAAGGAATCCCTAATTAGTAGACTCTGACTCTTATGATATGCTTTTTAGGGAGGGAGTAGGTTTTTCTTGTTTTCTCCTGCAGTGGGGCACCCGAACCCACACAGAAGGTTTTTGTAGGTGATTGTATTATTATTGTTGTCTAAGTTGTTGTTGTTGTTGATGTTAATGATTATTCATTAGGAAGCGGGAAACTATCCTTTATTCTATTATACACTCATTGTACCACATTTTCTCTGGGTTTTTTCCTGGTCATCTTGATATTTATTTCAGTGTCTTCCTTTTGTCCATACCCTCAAATCTAACCAGTTGATCCAGTAAGATTGGCACATGGATCTCATGATTGAAGTGGAAACAATCAGTACAGTGATGATTGAATTGAAAACTTATTCATAACCAATCAGTTCAGTAATGATTGAACTGGAAACAAGCATAACCAGTCAGTACAGTGATGGTTGAACTGGAAACAAGCATAACCAGTCAGTACAGTGATGGTTGAACTGGAAACAAGCATAACCAGTCAGTACAGTGATGGTTGAATGAAAACAAGCATAACCAGTCAGTACAGTGATGGTTAAACTGGAAACAAGCATAACCAGTCAGTACAGTGATGGTTGAACTGGAAACAAGCATAGCCAGTCAGTACAGTGATGGTTGAACTGGAAACAAGCATAACCAGTCAGTAAATGAGGGTTGAACTGGAAACAAGCATAACCAGTCATTACAGTGATGGTTGAATGGAAACAAGCATAACCAGTCAGTACAGTGATGGTTGAACTGGAAACTTAAGCATAACCGATCAGTATTGTGATGGTTTCACTGGAAACAAGCATAGCCAAACAGTATTGTGATGGTTGAACTGGAAACAAGCATAACCAATCAGTATTGTGATGGTTGAACTGGAAACAAGCATAGCTAATCCGTACAGTGATGGTTGAATTGGAAACAAGCATAACCAATCAGTACAATGATGATTGAACTGGAAACTTATTCATAACCAATCAGTACAGTAATGATTAAACTGGAAACAAGCATAACCAGTCAGTACAGTGATGGCTGAACTGGAAACAAGCACAGCCAGTCAGTACAGTGATGATTGAACTGGAAACAAGCACAACCAGTCAGTTTTGTGATGGTTGAACTGGAAACAAGCATAGCCAATCAGTACGGTGATGGTTGAACTGAAAACAAGCATAACGTCGCTCTCATCACAGTCGGCCTGACCAAAACTCGGTCTCTTGCCAGATCTTCCGCATCGTGAAATTTCTTACCAAAGATGTCACTTATAGATTGTGCCTATCTTCGTGCTAATCGGTCCCTACTCCCTCTTTACTGACACTTAGGCTTCTGCTATTATTATTTCCAATCCGCTATGGCACTTGATTTGGCCAAAATAGTTCAGCTTCCAATACAAGCTGCTGTTTATTAGCCATATGCTGTTTACTAGCCAGTCTTCCGTGGTATTACGATCTTTTAGGATGTGAGTATTTCTTTTCTTCTTGGTCTATGGTATTCTGAGAATCTTTCTGTGACGTTTCATTTCAAAATCCAATACAGTGATGATTGAACTGGAAACAAGCACAACCAGTCAGTTTTATGATGGTTGAACTGGAAACAAACATAACCAATCAGTTTTGTGATGGTTGAACTGGAAACAAGCATAGCCAATCAGTACGGTGATGGTTGAACTGAAAACAAGCATAACCAGTCAGTACACTGATAGTTGAACTGGAAACAAGCATAACCAGTCAGTCTGCAAACACATGTGCCACATCTGTAAAGGGATGTATAGTAAAAATCAAGTTCTGTAACAATATTAAAGTCCAGAAGTGGACGAACAACCAGAACTTTCCACCTGAGTTTACAGCCGATAAACGCTAAGAAAATTAAGACACATGTAGACTTCAAACATGGTGTCCTTTCTCCTGAGTGCATCTCTATAGACCCTGTCCTCTTGTAACCCACACCAGCAGATTCTATTTGATCCCGCTGCTGACATAGAGCACCGGAAACACGCCTTCTGTTTCCGGGTTAACACGATTAATGAAGATGTTACTCTTGCCTGGAAGGACAGCCAGCCCCTTGCCCTACTCTTTTCAGTCGATTCCAATCACATTTCTGGTCGCTGCTGTGTATTTGGGCCTCTAATACCAAGGTCCCTGCCCGAGAGCTTTTACCATTTCCCCGAGGGGGGGGGGGGGGGGGGGGGGCGTCCTGTGTGAATTTCAGACGTTTTCTCATTTGCCGAAAATAAATTCGTCCCAGTCCAGAAATGGAAAGATGTTTTGTCTGTGTTTGTACGGGACAGTGGCGCCGAAACGTGGGCATATTGAGTTTACCCGATGCATGCCGACTTCGAAAGAAATATCCCTCATTTCAAATGCTTTTTACCACATCTTTGTTGGTGTGTGTGTGTGGGACGGGGAAGGGGGGGGGGGGTGTTCCTGAAACACAAACGGAAAGAAAATGTTCAAAATTTACAAATATACACGCGTAAAAAACTAGTGGTAATAGCTCGCTCGCTCTATTTCCTTGTAAGGGGTAACCCACACACACACGCGCGCGCGCGCGCGTTCTCGCGCGCGTTCTCGCGCGTCTATAGCTAGCTCGCTTTCAAACTCTCTTACCATATAACGAATCCGGTTGAAGACCTGGTTAGACACAAGTTGGAAAGTTTTTTTTCGGCAAGTGCGGATAATTTTAACACGCAGCGACCCATCTATAGTGACAGGCAGTCACCAGCATCGTTTTGTCCTGTGCAGAACGTCGCTCTCATCACAGTCCGCCTGACCAAAACTCGGTCTCTTGCCGGATCTTCCGCATCGTGAACTTTGTTACCAAAGATGTCACTTATAGATTGTGCCTATCTTCGTGCTAATCGGTCCCTACTCCCTCTTTACTGACACTAAGGCTTCTGCTAGTATTATTTCCAATCCGCTATGGCACTTGATTTGGCCAAAATAGTTCAGCTTCCAATACAAGCTGCTGTTTATTAGCCATATGCTGTTTACTAGCCAGTCTTCCGTCGTATTACGATCTTTTAGGATGTGAGTATTTCTTTTCTTCTTGGTCTATGGTATTCTGAGAATCTTTCTGTGACGTTTTATTTCAAAATCCAATATCTCTACGTTTTCTCAGTCATTTGTTGGTCGCTACGGTGACCTCAGTGAGTGACTCATAACAGTAGCAGAGGTTGATGGTGTAAACGGAGTCAGCTACCATGAAGATGATTTAAGTTATGTATTTATATATAATAAGCAAACAGACAGTGTATTTATTGGCACTCACAGGAAGAAGAAGAAAGATGTAAGGACACTCTAGACATAAAAATCGAAAGCTACAGCTACCGTGCCGAGAATCCAACCTGTCATCTCCAAATGAATGCGCCTCGCTATGGAAACAAGTATATACATGTTTCTACGGCCTCGAGAGTTCTCCCTCCGTTTATTTAACAATCTACCCAAAGTATTTCAGAATCCTCGCCGGTGCAACGGAGTTTGTGCACTGCGCTGAGATTCTTCAGACTCAGGCTTGAGTTAGAAGTAGAACGGAGCACTTATGGGTTACACCCGTGTGCCATGATATTGATCCGTTGAATAAACATAAACTATCAGTCTTAAACAACGCATCCCGTGTGATATGATTCTGTCCAATTGAACCTCGCAAAGCATAGTCTGATGGGAGGAATACTTTTGGAATCTGGTCGGTTATTTTAATATGCAATATGATCTGCGTTTCATGCAGTGTGTAGGTGTTGACTCTGTTAAAATTATGCACTCATGTTCATTGTGGCTGTCGTGTGCTTTGGATATTTTCTCTGAAACCTTGTGGGACCGAAAGAGTTAACTAGGCCAGTGTTTCCCAAACTGTGCGCCGCGAAATATTCGAAGATACACGAGTTTTATTTTTAATTTTTTTTTTTTTAATCTTTTACCAACGAATAGTCTTACTTTTACTTAGGTTAGGGCGCCGTGGAACAATTTTAATTGGTGGGGGGGGGGGGGGGGGACGCGTCCTCAGTCCCCTTAGGTAATTTTCTAGAGGACCTCAAGGGACTCAGACATTGTTTGAGAGCTTTGTTGTGTTTGTATTTTGTTTATGTGCCTGCGTTTGTTTGTGTGCGTGTATACATGCGTGCGTGCGTGTGTGTGTGTGTTTTGTACTAAATGGCAAGTAAATATTTTAATATGTTTGAAATAAATTTAAAGTAGGTAAAAAGTGAACGTCTTTAATGGTTTCAAAGGGAAAAAACAAGATGCGAAGGGGGAGCTCAGAGGATACGACCCCCCACCCCACCCACCCCAACTTCCAGCGCCTATACATCCTACAGAAGACCTATAGGTCAATGCCCAAGATA